GTAAAACTTCTGCAAAGTAGTTCTTCATGAAAGTATAAACGCAAATCATATGGTCTTGGCTGTCATCTTTTGGCTGCTTTACACAACACAAAACATCCAAGCGGTTGTTCTCTTGGCGTTTAGCATCTAAAGACATCAGGGCCACAAATGCTGTAACTTGGAGCAAGAAGTCAAAGAAAACAGCTGCTGCTGCATAAAGTGAGAATATTCTTACTGCTGGCATAGTTGACATTGCACCTGGAGAAAAATCATAACAAAATTAAAACCGGACAGTACAAGCAGATGTTAATGCCAGTACTACTACATGTATTTCAAACTTCATTTGCTTGCTTTAACTTTGTACAGCCTCTTTAACGAGCACAGCCATCAGTGCTGCAATCAGTAGCCATTTGGAAAAAAGTTGATGGACCTCTGAATTATTGCTTTGGAATTATTTTAAACATAAAGTACACTGCAACACAAGTAATCTTCAAAATTCATTGTAAATTCTGAGAATATGGACATGTTTGATCTCAAAGTCATTGACAATCAAAGTTAAATAATACTCACCTATTGCGAATGCAACAGACTCCGATAAAGAGGTTAAGAGCATACTTGGTGCTACTTCACCCAAAACACGCCCAATTTTATGAGGTACATCCCCTTCTGCATGTTGATCCTGACGCTGATATGCCTGCACAAGAATGAAGATGTTGTCCACACCCACTGCTAATACAAGGAATGGCACCACTTCAATGATAATGAGAGTTGCTGGCTCACGAACAAAACTCCAAAAGCCAACTGAAGAAAGAACTGAGAATAACACTACCAAGATGCCACTGAATCCAAGGGTAAATTTGGAGTCAATCTGAGGAGATAACATCATGAAATTTAAGACCCACAAAATTGAATCCACTATAGGATATTCAAACCACAGGAAAAAAAATTAATATGTAATGACAACATATACAGGATACATGTATGAATCAAAAAATACACAAATTATTGACTGATCTTACTGGTAAGTTCTATTTTGTATTTTCAATCATCCAACAAAATTAGTTTCAGACCCTTGAAAATATTAGCTTACCAAAATTCTGTCACAACTCTTGAACTGTCCCAGAGCTATAGTGATATATATAAACATGATCATATAGCTGGCCAGTATGGTAAAAATATCAGTGTTGCTCTCACGGTCCAGCTCGTCTTGAATGCTACGCTCAGCAGAGTAACTTATAGTAAGATTGTTATTGGACTTGTTATGCGTGTATCTGTGCATAAAATCTAAGAACTGTTTTTCCCATGCCATTGCTTTGGATAGCTTGCTCTTCTCTTTGAAGTTATTCACAACGAAGGTTATGATCAAGGCTGTAGCATTTTGATAGGCACCATTATGGAAGCCTCCTAACGCAATGTTGGGGTTCACAGGTCCACCATAAGCACCCAAGCACGGTTCTTTCAACTTAGGTTCATTTTCAGATGTGGGCGACCTAAAAAAGGGAAATGTTAGCAGAGTAAGAAAAAGTTTACAGTTATTCAATTTGGTCAGTACACAAGTAAAGAAGAACATTAATTTTATTTAAGGAGGTTATGAAGTCACTTGTTCAACAATTATAAACCCAAGTAGAGGTCAATAGTGATGGATATTTACCAAGCAGCAAAACAGCTGCGTAAATATCCACCACTTTTGCTAACATGTAAGTGAATAATTTTCTTAGTATATCTCACACAGAAACCAAAATAATTTAGTTTGATCTGTAAATATACTTAAAAAGTGTTCTGAAATTTAAGTTGATGCAAGATTTTGTCTCTTCAGCTGCTTTGAGTTGAACAGTAATTGCTAATCACTTCTGAACTAGCCAATCAGCAAGCAAGAAAAGGACTATTCACCTGTGTCTATATTATACTAATAAGATAGAGACCACATCTGAAGTGAGTGCTATGTGAGACAAATAACCAGACATGTACTTAAACCCTTTAACTCCCAGATCAAATTTGTATTTCTCCTTACTGCCAACCATACAATTCTTATGATGTTAGTTCAGAGAATTTTGTACTGGATCAACTACTTATCCCCAAATTGATATTTTTCTTTATTCTCATCACTTATCTGGTTGATATTGTATTGATATTGTAAGGAGAAATTCTGTCTTGGTCACTCATGGGAGTTGAAGGGTTAAGTAGCAAAAGGAAGGCAGCAATCCCTTCAGCTGTAAGGAGGTCACTGCGGCATAGGCACCACCTACTGACACCTTTTGACTGGCGTGTGGGATGAATAAATGACAAAAAGTGTGGAGAGGGAGGGGAGGGTGAGAAAAAAGCCAGCAGATTGTACATAAACACATTCCATGTTCCTATAAACATCCCTACATGTAGGGCTGACAACATAGCGAGTTGTCATTAGAAAGCAGTAGACAACAGAGCTGTTGGACCAATTTATGCTGGCTTATTTGGAGAATTTTGATCAAACACTGAAAATAAGAATCTAATACCAACATCTTGAACCGCCTTGAAGAGAGCAACCACATATGTTATAAAGGAAAAATTTGTTCTCACTGTGCAAGCAAAATTACATTCAGCCACCAGCACAGTTTAGATCGTGGACCTATTGCACTTTCGTACGACTACCCTGCAACATACTAATAGTGGTACAGCTGTGCTGACTTCAGATTTTGGCCTTGTTCAAATTGACACAACAATTTACTCTCCAAGAATAGTTACAACTTACTCTGTGCAAGCTAGTATATGATCATGAAAGTCACCTTCCCTGAAGTCGTGTGGATCATCTTTACAGTTATGACCCATGCTGGTTAAGCACTTGTTCAGCCTTGTTTTGTTGTTTTGAAAATATTGAAAGACACTTTGTATGGTACAAGCTTGAATCTGAGGGGCCAAAGGCTGGAAGCAGATATCTTGCAATGTGATGTTTGTGTCTTCATAGTGAACTCGCATGTTGGTAATTTCGTTTTGAAGATCTAAAGCCTAAAAATAGACATAAAAATGTTACAATGACTGTTGAATCCTTTTCTTTTTTTATCAGTTTCTGAATGTTGAGTATAGCAGTAAAATCTGTTGTTATTACAAATGATGGCTTTATGTGGTTAAGAGAATCTGCTACCTTTGCTATGCTATGGCAAAGAAATTCTAGTATTCTTGGATAAGGATGATACACCATAGGCCCAGTCTGCTGCATGCACTTCTCATAAAGAGTAGGGAATGTACATGTAGCTCCCAGTGTTGTGGTCTGGCCATGTCATTATAGGCTCCCACTTAAACCAGCTTTAAAATTGAACTATGTCAGCCTTTCTAAATATTGCAAATACTAATACAAACAGAAAACTGAGTTAAGTATAGATCATTTAACTCCAATGGTAACCAGACATTATTTCTCCTTATGATGTTAAGCCCTGTTCAAACAGTCATGATAGCTGATGATAGTTTTAACTTTGGTTCACTATCACTTCTTTTCATGTTCACATTTAAACAGTTCGTAATAATTGATGATAGTTGACAAAATTATGCAAAGAGATCGCGTAATTGTAAACAAAATGCACCGAGGTCAGCAATATTGATGGCATTAGTAATTTTGGTAAAGAAGTTGTGAATCAAAGATACTGAAGCCTATCATAAGATAACGAGAATGAACTATAAGACACTCTGAGAAATTTTAGTGGCAATTTGTCATTTACCATTTGCTATTTAGGTTTCGGCCCATTTTTAGCATAATTGCTGAACACAAAACTATCATCCACTCATTCAAATGGCAAAAACTATCATCAACTATCATGTTGAATTTGAACATGTCCAAACAACATGATACTTTATGATTTTTGATAATAGTTTGTGTTCAAATACATGTGATAATTGAAACCATCATCTCCGTTTGAGCAATGCTTTAGTCTGGATAATTTTGTACTGGATCTACCAACAATTGCCTTACTGATATCTCTCTTTTCTATTGTCACTTGTTTGCTTGATATTGTACGTACTTATCTTGTCAGGAGAAAATCTGTTTTAGTCACTGGCGGGAGTTAAAGGATTAAGTCATTACAGGATGCCAATGCCCCCTTTTTCCTTTTCAAATCACCCAAGTAAATTCTCTTTCTGATATTGTATTAGAGTACAATAAACTACATTATTGATATAAACCACAAGTTATACTGTTACCTGGTTTAGCAAATCTAGATGAAAGATTGGTCCAAAGGGAACCCACTTTTGGTCTCCATAGCGATGATAGCCTGTGGGGACAGGCTTTCTTGAGCTTATTATAAGCTGCTCAGTGCGATAGAAAGGCTTAAACTTTTTATCAAAAAGCTCTTTCTGTTTGCGTGCCATACTGTCTGGAGCAGACCACAGTTCCACAGGGTCAGTAGTGACAGAGAAATAGAACAATCCACTAGCAAGAATTCCAACAACAAGAATACATCCAACAATGACATAGAACGGGTGAGAGCTGCACCATACACCCCATCTTGTGAACCATCGAGTCACAAATGACTCTAGTTTGCTGCCCAACTGCTCACAACAACCAGGTCGAGAATCCACCATTAGCGGCAAGGATCCTGATATTGGAGGGTAGGTGCTGTTGTATCGCTGTGATTGATCAGGCACTGTGGGGTAGCTTTTTCTCAAAACCAACTTGTATAAAAAGCTGATTACAAGGCAAATCAGCAAGAAACAATAAACTACAAGCAGGCTGAAGGAGAGAAGGTCCATTCCAAGAATCTTGGTAGGGTTTACTTTAGGTGGTACAGTAGGACGTACAGGGCAGGAGGACTGACAGTCTTGGCAACTACAAACACTTGCTGTCCTGTTTGTTTGTGGGTTCACAAATGGCTGGTTACACTTAAAAACAGTTTGGTTCATCCATGAAAGATTTGAAGTTAGATTGTCAGGAAAATCGAGAGTGAATGGAGCAAATCCATTGTTTGGGTCTCCCATGTGTCCAAGGAGTTTATCTGGAGTGCACAGCTCGGCAGTAGTACCACAAAGGAGACTCAAAACCTTCTCATTGTTTCCAGGAAAAGTGACGTCTTTGCAGGAGTCGAACAGACCCTGTTTAAATTGAGGTGAAACAAAATATTGAACTGCCAAGATATATTGTTTAATAGAAGGGTACACCATAGTTGGATCCATGAAAAGCGACTGATCCTGACTGCAGGTAAGCTGACAATACAGCCTTCTCATGTTGTTCCAACAGGCGGGACAACGACCGGTTAGTTGTATCAACGTTTGCAAATTCTCATCCAACGTTTGCAGTTGTTTGGTTGAACAACAAGTTGGTTGATCCCTCAATTCTGGGCATAAACTGTTCAATATCTGCACACCCTTTGGATTGGTTAAATTCTTGGCCGGTCCATTGTAAAGGCAATTCTTCGGCTTGTCCCCAGTTGTACATTGATCGTACCACACACAATAACCCTTGGTGTGATTCTTGACTATGTCACCATTTACCTGAAATAAAATCAAACTAGCTAAAACAAACTGCCAAATACATCTAAGATCCCACTCAGATAGCTTACCGAGGTTAGTTTGTAGTTCAGAAAAGCGCTGATAAATTTCTAGTACACAAATGATTTTGCAAGCATACGCCTCCAACATGTTCATGATTACGAAAGACCTTCACCTTCAACCTTTAATCGCGGTTCCAGAACTCAACAACTTGACGTTCCAACAGTAACATTAACAATACCAGCCGATAGAAATGAAACCGACATTTCTTTAAGTAAAATCTAGCTTGGTTTAATAAAGGTTGTGTAATGCAACAAGAATCGAGGCCTACCGGAGATGTGTACATCATGAAGACTACAATTAGCGTGATCGAACCAACATATGTCACGGCTCTTGCCATTTTAAAGCACTTTTTCTCAAGCTTCGACGAGTCCAGTTACTACAGATATATTTCTACGTTGTGTTCTCCTTTTTTCGGCGACAAATCCCTAACAACTATAACAGTTTTCATACAGTCAAATCCGGTTGCGAAAGGTCTAACATGGGTGAACACCAGTATAGTTACATAAACTGATCAATCATGTGGCTTGATTCTCTTCGCTGATTGGTCAACGGTTCCTCAGGCCATTCGAGCCTATTCATCGCATGACGACACACAAGTCACGAGACTTTTCGTGTTTCAGGCTACGTCTCCCACGAAATCGTTCGCTCAAAGGTCATCACAGTATCCTGAATTCAAAAATAAAAAGTAATCCGATAGTTCTGAACGGTATCTTCGCGCCTCGATTTAGAAGAGCCTCTACATAACCTTGATCATGAATTATATTCTCATCGGTGGCGATGTTTACGTCGCTTTCGCATGTGACCCATGCAGGGGTAGGCCCGCCTCTTGGCCGCCTGTGGCTTAGCCTTGTTCTGAATTGTTCATTGTAATCGGTTTGTGCCCAGTCGTGATGGTATGAAATCGAAATATGAGGCTGGATTTTCTGAAGAAGAAACATGACGATATTTTCGAAAAGAATTTATTACGCATGGCATCGCGGCTCGATATCTGGGAGGCACCGGTTCGAATCCCGTCGAAGCCTTTTTTTTTTTTTTGTATATTACTGTAATCGCTTGAATTGCTGATCAGCGGCGAGGACCATTGCTTTGCTCAAGAGAATCTCAAAAAATGAATGGCTGTAAACGCTCTGTGTTCTGACGACCTGACTTGAACGCTCTGTGTCCTGACGACCTAACTTGAGTCCTTTTTTTCTCTTTTTTTTTTTTCTTTTCCCTTTTGCTCTTGCCAGCTCTGTACGAGATCAGTCAGGTGTCTCGGATTGGGCCAAAGGTCAATGAGTAGAAGTTGCTGGATCTTTAAGCGCGTCGGGCGCTAAATCGAATCATTACGCGGTATATGTAAATAAAGAAACTACTAGAACGTTCGACTCGAGTTTCTACGTTCTGTAAGTGACGCGTGTTTACGGTAAACGTAAAATGACTCCATCACGCGTGAATTTTCTAGGAAAACAAGACAAGGTGAACACTGAAACTTTATCTTTTGAATCCGAGACGTGTGAAATTCTGTTTAAGGACACGTGACGCGTGTTTGTTTGTTTGTTTTTTTAATTCGTGGGTGAAACGGGTACAGGACTCTTCGTTAATTGTTCTCATTGGGGCCAGTTCGTTATTTTTTTCGTTTTTCATAAAGTTTCAAAGATAAAGTTAGTTTCGCGAACAAAATAAATTCATGTAACCCGCTGTACCTCTTCCTTACAGGGATGTTTTCTCAGATTTCCCTGAAGTCTCGAGGCCGAGGAACCGCGACCTGAAAACTACCCACAATGCCTTTCGGAGTTGTCGTATGCACTTTTGTGCACATGCAAACAGCTGTAGACCCTCAGTGCAAACCAAAACGAAACAATATTCGATCTCTGTAGACGGATATTTTCGAAAACGCTCGCTCTGCCCTCCCCTGAAGGATAGGGGTTTGTATGCAGTATATAATTAATAAAATTAAACTTTTTATTTTTGTCTAGAGGGGAATGACGTCAGCCTCTCCAGTTTTCGATGAATAAATTTCTTCCTTAAACCCCAAAAGAATCTGACTAAAATTTTCTCGTGTAGGAGAAAATATGAAGGGGTAATACGTACAACGCCGACTGACTATACTACTTTCCATATAATGGAATCATTTTTTATATTTTTCTATACTATAGGAGACGAGTGCTATGACCTCACGTCATTTTTCCAGTGAGTGACAGAAAAACGTGGCAGGCAATGATACATGTGATACCACAAGGCTTTCCCAAGGAAATTGGTCATCATTTTGCTATTGTTCCTAGGTCATATGAGAGTCTCATGAGATCATGTGATCTTTACAAATATATATTCAAAGCTGATTTTAAAAGAATGATTACCAATAAAGTCTGTCGGTAAAGTTCGTCAGTGAAACTCTTATTCATTTGTGAAGATTGTGGGTATATTGGATTTTAAAAAAAATCTCGTAATATTATTGAATATAAACTGCAATCATTAAATAAAATCGAAAATCGCTTTAGCTCCTTTCATATAAAATTGAGTTGAAAAATTTTTCAGTTTCCAACTTTTGTAATGAAAAATTATTCAGTTGAAATTCATTCCATCCAATAATCATCAGTTACTTCAATAGTTATTAAAACGTCAACCAGTGTCTATCGAATGAAAAAAAATTTGATTTGACCCCATTTTCTACTGATTTGTATTTTCAAAAGTCGTGATTTCTTTCGGTATTCTTATACGATTGAGGCTCTTCGAGATTTTTGATACTCCTTGTATTCATGTTCAAATCACCAGTCATTGCTCTCGAGCCATCAATTCTCAAAACATTTCCAAAATAGATTTAGTTTTCCGAACAAAATAAGTTCCTGAAACTCGCTTTGCCTCTTCCTTACAGGAATGTTTTCTCAGATTTTCCTGAATCCAGAGGACAAGGGACCGCGACCTGAAAACTACCCACAATGCTTTTCCGAGTTGTCGTGTGCACTTTTGTGTATATCCCGACAACCTTTTTGCAGACAGCTGTAGACCTTCAGTGCAAACCTAAACCTACACGAAATGATATTCGGATGTTTTCGAAAATGCTCCCCCTCCTCCCCTCAGAGTGGTGAGGTAAGGATGGGGGTTTTTGGCAAATGCATATAATTGTATGCAGCATATTATTTGAAAAATTAAACTTTTTATCGGAAAACATGTTTTTCGTCTTGTCACGAGCGAGGGACGAAGAAAAACTTCTGATTCTTCATGAGGAATCGAACATCAGACCTTCGGATTCCGCGCTCCGATTCTCTACCAGTGAGCCACAGAGACTCTATGGTGAGCGAGATCTATTACGAAATTCATATGACACGCGTCCTGCATACTGCTAGGATAAGCAAACATGACGCTATCGACATTGCTGATCCTAGTGGTATAC